GTTGTTATCGTTGTTGTTGTTGTTGTTGTTGTGGAATTGTTTTAGTTGTGTCCATCTCTTCATGACCCCATTTGGGGTTTTCTTGGCAAAGATACTGGAGTGGTTTGCCATTTACTTCTGTACTCATTTTACAGATGAGGAAACTGAGGCAACAAAGTTAAATGACTTGCCCAGAGTCACACAGCTAGTAAGTGTCTGAGGCTAGATTTGAACTCAGAGAAATGAGTCCTCCTGACTCCAAGTCCAGTATGCCACTCAGCTGCCCCAGGTAGAAGTTACAAAGAGCAAATTTAGCCTTGCTACCAGGAAACTCTTCCTAACAATTAAAGCTATCCAAAACTGGAATGGGGTATCTCTCACAAGGTAGTGGGATCCCCCACCCTGGAGGTCTGCAAGCAAAAGGACAGATGACCTCCTTTCAGGTAGAGTATATAGGGAAATTCTTGTTCACTCTGACTTAATGTAGATGACCTCTGAAGGCCCTTCCAATTGTGAGTCTATAATTTTGTAAAATGTTTATTGAGCAATTATTCCATGCCCAGTACTATACTGAGTATAACAGAAATGCAAAAAAATTTTAATTTAATTTTTGAAAAGTATGACAATATCCCTATGTCCTCAGGGGGCTTATACTTGCTGAAGAGGCAAACTCTTAAATTTGGCCTTTCTTTTAAGCCTGTCATCCAACATGGAAGCAGTGCTGTGATCTACTGAAGATGGATTTGGACTCAGAAGACCTGGATTCAGCTACTTACTACCTATGTGATGTTGGGCAAATCATATAAGCTCTTTCAATTCAATTTACCAATACTTATTGAATGTGCAGGGCACCGTACTAGGAGCTAAGGACAAAAATTGTTTAAATGAGCTACACCCAAGCAATTTATATTCTACTGGGCATGGAGGGGGTTAGATCAAGTATAAGAAGTACACAATAGTAGCCAAATTCCAGAATTTCCAGGTCAAGGAGAAAATATTGCAGGCAGCCAGAAAGAAACAATTCAAGTACTGTGGAAACACAATCAGAATAACACAGGATTTAGCAGCTTCTACATTAAGGAACCGCAAGGCATGGAGTGTGATGTTCCAGAGGGCAAAGGAGATAGGAGTACAACCAAGAATCACCTACCCAGCAAAACTGAGTATAATCCTTCAGGGGAAAAAATGGTCATTCAATGAAATAAGGGACTTTCAAGCATTCCTGATGAAAAGACCAGAGCTGAATATAAAATTTGACTTTCAAATACAAGACTCAAGTGACACATGGAAGAGGTAAACAGTAAAGAGAAATCATAAGAGACTTATTAAAGTTGAACTGTTTACATTCCTGCAGAGAAAGATGATATTTGTAACTCATGAGTCCTTGGTCAGTATTAGGGTAGTGGGAGGGAAAAAATTACATGGATAGGTAGATAGATAGATAGATAGATAGATAGATAGATAGACAGACAGACAGACAGACAGACAGACAGACAGACAGACAGATAGATAGATAGATAGATAGATAGATAGATAGATAGATAGATGGCACAGGGTGAGTGGAAGATGGAGTGATATCTGGAAAATAAAATCAAGGGGTGAGAGAGGATTACACTGGGAGAAGGAGAAAGGGAGAAGTAGAATGGGGTAAATTATCTCACAAAAAAAAAAACAAAAAAGAAAATGCTCTTACAATGGAGAGGAAATGGGGGAAGGTGAGAGGGAATGAGTGAATCTTATTCTCATAGGATTTGACCCAAGGAGGGAATAACATACACAATGGGATATAGAAATCTATCTTACCCTACAGGACAATAAGAGGGGAACGGGACAAGAAAGCAGGGGTTGATAGAGGGGAGGGCAGATTGTGGGAGGGGATAATCAGAAGCAAACACTTCTGAGGAAGGACAGGGTCAAAAGAGAGAATAGAATAAATGAGAGGTAGGATAGGACGAAGGGAAATATAGTTTTTCACAACATGACTACTATGGAAGTGTTTTGACATATCGAGATGGTTACCTTTTCAATGAGGGTGAGTGGGGAGGGAAGAATGGAGAAAATTTGTAACCCAAAGTTTTAAAAACACATGTTAAAATAAAAAATGAATTTGAGTTGAAAAAAAAAGTACACAATAAGCATGAAGACAAGATAGAGTGTGATGGAAGCACCTATTGAGAACCTACCTTGTACTAAGTGTGCTAAGTGCCAGCTTCAAATCCGGCCTCAGACACTTGGCTCTTACTAGCTGTGTGACCTTGGGCAAGTCACTTAACCCCATTGCCTAGCCAAAAAAAAAAAGAATTGAGACAATAGATGTTCTAATTTACCACCACAAAAATATCAGTCTGGGAGGGAAAGACCCTCAAAGTTTCTGGCCAGAACGGAAAACAATTGTAATTTACATTCATTCTATTAGGAGCTGAACCATGATAATAAGCACATCATGAGTCCATTTGAGGGAGAGATCAGTGCATTCTGCAGTCTTCATGGAGGGAAAGCAACATGAGCTAGACCTCAGAGATGGGTATAATTTCAATGAGTTAAAAGTGACAGGAAGATGGTGCCTGACAAGTAGGATAGCACAAAAGCAAATAAATCAGAAATAAGCCTGGCATATAGTAGGACATTAAGGAGCCCAGCACTTTTCATCTCATTTTATAGATGAGATAACTGAGTCATATAGTGAGGAAGCAACTTATCCAAGCTGACAGCATCTTAATTTAGAACCCGTCTCTCTCCATTTCTGGGCCATTAGTTTGCATCAGCCCCATAGTAAAATGGGCATATAACATAGCATGCGGCCCCAGGGCAGCCTTCCCTTTAAAACTTTCAGGTTTCTTTGCATCTTTATAGGAAGCCCCATAGTATAGGATCATAACCACAGAACGGTTATGATAGTCCACAGAATGTAAGCTCCTTGAGGGAAGGGACTTTTTAATTATTGTCGTGGGATCCTAACACTAGCAACTGTGTCTTTCGTAAAACAGACACTTAATAAAAACAATTGAATTAAATGGAGGAGTGGGAAATAAAGTTGGCTAGGTAGGGTGGATAGCTAGGTGGAACAATGGATAGAGCGCTGGGCCTGGAGTTAGGAAGACTCATCTCCCTGAATTCAAATCTGGCCACAGTCACTTACTAACTATATGACCCTGGGCAAGTCACTTCACCCCTGTTTGCCTCAGTTTCCTCATCTATAAAATGAGCTGGGGAAGGAAATGGCAAACCACGCCAGTATCTTTGCCAAGAAGACCCCAAATGGGTTCACGAAGAGTCAGACATGATTGAAAACACCTGAACAACAACAAGACTTAGACAGTTGTGGAGTCATTGACAATTACTGAACAGGTTAGGGAAATGATAAAAGCAATGAAAGATCTTTCAGCATCCTACTACGTATAAGAGAGATTAGAATGGAGAAAATAGCAGAGACAGGAAGACTTACTAAGAGGTCAGCTGTAATCAGCAGTAACAGTAGACCAAGGCATGAGGAGATAACAACTTGAACAAGGGTTGTAGCAGCAAGAATGGAAAGGAAGGAACACGTCTGTGAGAGACGCTTCTTGGGAAGAAAGAACTAGAAAGAGACGGAGCAAAGGGATGAAGGAGAGAAAGTGTCCAAGATGCCCTTGTTTCTGGCCTGGGGACTGGAAGAATGATGGCACCGATGACAGAAATGGAAGATGGTTGAAAAGCATTGTCAGAATATTTTTAAGAAGTAGAAAAGTACTAGGAATTGCTGTTATCAACATTTTCCAGGTGCCTCTGTGCTTAGTGGCTGCTGATAAGGAGGACTGTCGTTCTTACTCATCCCTCTCCGTTGGAAACTGTTAGGGGAAAAAATTGTTTCCAGCTGTTCTCTAGAGCAAGGGTTCTCAACCTGGGGTCCATGAACTTGCATGTATGTATACATACACATACACACACATACACATATATGTGCATGTGTACAAGTATATACACACATACATATATACAGATAATTATATTTCAATATAATTGGTTTCCTTCATAATTCTATATATTTTATCATGTGTATTTAAAAACATTATTCTGAGCAGGGGTCCATAGGATTCACCAGCCAGACACGAAAAAAGGTTAAAAATACCAGTCTACTCAGGAGCACTCTCAGATATCAAAGCTCCCTTCTCACCCTGGGTCCCCAAGGCAAGAACTGGTGGCAGACTAGAGCCTAGAGCACACATGGCATATTCAGTATGGGCCTCAGTTTCTTCATCTGTAAAATGAAGAAGTAGAATTATATGATCATTAAAGTCCCTTTTAACACTAAATCCCATTATCATAAGACCATACACAAATCAATGAGAAAACTAGTTAGTGGCTGTCACAGACTTCTAAAGGTTGGTAGATTTGTTGCCATGCCTGCCAAGGCTGCAAACTGCAGTGTGGGGGCTGAAGACCCCAATCATAGACCCAATTTGGCAAAATTCAAGTCCTATCAGCAGAGGAAAAAAAAAAGAATCTGAGACCCCATAAGCACTAGAATAAAAATGTGGGGTTAGTAGAATGTGTTTCTTTAAAACACACCTATGTCTTTCCCCTCGCTATCCCTTCAACAATGACCTCAGAAATAGTTGAGAGGTAGCAAGTAGTGGAAATAAAAGTGGATTTTGAATCACGAGATGTGTTTCAAACCGCAGCTCTATTATTCACTATCTGTATAACCTTGAAATAATGAAATAATCCATAAACTTGGGGAAAAATATACATCTTTATTTTCACTAACTTTTGGCTTGCTTTGCAATTCTATCTATTTTATGCGTTTAAAACATTATTCTGAGAAGGGGTCCATAGGCTTCACCAGTCTGCCAACAAGGACCATGTGACACACAGAAGGTTAAGAACCCCTGGACTATGTGACCCTTAAGGCTCCTTCCAGCTTTGAGCCTATGAAAATTAACCTTTCTTTCTCCTTTAGACAACCCAGTCCTAGGCTGCATGGCCCTGCCATGCAACCTCTCTTGCCCCCGACAGTCTTACTCCTTTTCCCTGCTACTCACCTTACCCGTTCCTCCACTGCATCTTTTAGGGCAAAACGCTCCTTATTCACTTAACTTTGTCAGAGGAAATGAATTAGAGCTTTCCCCTCCTCTCTAGTTTCTGTTCAGTCTCTATGTCTGGGTTTAGCTACAGAGGAAACTAGAGGGGGAGGGCAGGGGGACTGTGGAAAGAGACAGGCTGGGGCCCAGGGGCAAGTTGTTCCTGTCACGTGATGCTCCCCTGTCCCCCTCTCCAGCCTCACCTTCCCCCACCCCCAGCTTACTATCAATTCAGTAGAGTAAGGCAGACATGCATCACAGACAGAGAGACATTGCATCAGGCTGTGCCCAAGGAACACAACAAATACTGTGAGTATGGGGACAAGAGGGGACTCCGAAGGGAGTTATGAGAACAGGGACTGCTCAGATTGTGAGCAAGGAGCTGTGGGGTAGGCAGAAGGGAAGTTTAGGACCCCCAGCATGGTCAGATCAGAGCAAGTCTACCTCTGATCTGGGGACAAAGAAACTCCCACCTAAGTCTCAAATCCCCTTACCTCAGCTCAAGATGCTTTCTGTGCCATAACTATGCGAGAAGAAAATATGCTTTCAGCTGGCGGAGGTAAAGAAAGGATCTGGGCGGGAGAGGTTAGGAGTGCAGGGAGATAACTTTCAGTTCACTCCATTTTCCTTACCCTTAGAAAAAGACTAATGTGAGAGAAGTCGGAGGGATGGAAAGACAAGCAAAGGACAGACCTGGGAAGTGTGGGCCCATCCCAAAAAAAGGGGTCCCTGATATTTTGAGGACCCAAGACTCTACATCATCTACAATATTACCCAGGTCCCTTGTATCTGTGGCCTTTTTCCCAGGGTAACTAAGTTTCCACCCCTAAAGAGAAAAATTAAGTCATGGAAGTAGAAAGCAACTTGCCCTCATCCAAAGGACAGGCCCCAAATCCTGCTGCCCATGGGAATCCTGAGCTTCCTGTTTATCTATTGCCTCCTGAATTTGATTAGTCTTACCCATTGTCTGTATTAGAGTTAAGCCCTTTCTCCTCAACTTAAAGTTGGAGAAACTGAAGGCAATGAGATCAAGTGACTTTCTTTAAAAAAAAGTTTCTAAAAATAGAAAAAAAAAAGTTTTACTGATACCTTTTGTATTTGCATCACAATCATTTCTTATCTCCTTCCTTATTGAACCCTCTCTTTGTGACAGAGAAAACAGTTTAGGAGTTAGGGCAAAAAATAATGAAATTGCATAGGTAGTAGTTAAAACAAAGTATCCTAACTAGTTTCTAACTAGTTAGTTGGCCTCTAACTAGTTTGCATGATGCTAAGAGCAAAGACCTAAAGACTTGGTCATCTAGGGAGAACAATAAGAAGCTATAGCTTTCCCCTTGGATTCTACTTATGCATATTCACTTAGATAGAGGTCAGGATAGAGGGCAAGAATTTAATATGGATCCTAATATTAAGGAGAAAAAGGTTTCAATTTGCCAATATGACTACAAATGCATGCATACGGTTCACAAAGGAAAGTTGGCACTGTTACAAAAATTCTAAATTACACATATAATGGAAGCAGGGGTAGAGAAGTACAGAGAAAAAAAAGGCATTTCGGGATCAGTGTAATGGTTGGGGTTCTAACGGCTGTCCTTTGGGAGAAGCAGGTCTGTTTCCTTATCTCTTCTCCACAACCTTCACTGGTGTTTCTATTGTCAGTCGGGCAATAAGCATTTAAGCACCTGTGCCAGGCACAACTCAAGAGTTGTTTCCTTTTAATGTCTTTCCATTTACGTTGTTGTCAGAATTGATAGTATTCCCTTGATTCTGCTGATTTTGTTCTGTCAATTCAAACACATCTTCCTCCATTTCTTTGAATTCCTTATGTCATTTCTAACTGTACGATATATTTCATTATATTAATATGTCATAGGTTTTTTCCAGACATTTCCCACTTTCCCCCCCAGTTCTTTACTATCATTAAAAGGACTTCTGTTACTGTCCTTGAGTTTCTTAGGACATATGCCCAATAGGGGGATTGACTGAAGGAACGAATGAAAGACAAAGCATTTATTTATTTATTTATTTATTTATTTGTTCATTTACTGTTATTCAGATTTGAACTCAGGTCCTCCCGACTCCAAGGCCGGAGCTCTATCTACTGCGCCACCTAGCTGCCCCTGACAAAGCATTTATTAAGCATTTACTGAGCACTTGGAATGATGAGGATGGGATCTAGACCCCAAAAAGGAAAAACCCTGGACTTTCCCACCTGGCCAAATCTCTGGCTATAATCCTGTCAACTAGCCTTTCATTGTGGCTAAACCCAATCTCCCAATTCTCTGTTACCCTTAACCTAGCCTAGCTCTCCATTGTCTTACCTCTCTATGGCCCCCTGCCATTTCCCACCCTTAATCTCAGCGATGCTCAATTCTCCGTGGCCATGTGGTCCAGGTTCCTGGCATTCTATTACCTCATAGACTACTTGGCCACTCCTAGATCCCTCCCATAATCTCTCTGTATACAAGGTCCATCTTGTCTCCATTAAGATGCTCAGATTCTTATAATCTAGCCACTGTTCAGATTTTTACAATCTAGCCAATAGATCACAAGTGCTCAGATTCCTTAAGAGTCTGGCCAATATGGCGGCTCTTTAATAAACCTTGTCTTTGGCCAAAAGAAGGCTTGGGTCGAATTCTTTCGGACAGGACCCATGTGTCATGATTTTGGGGTTCCAGCACCCCTAAACCTCTAGACTTCATCAGGAATACAAATAGGAACAGCAAGGTGGGCTCTACTCTCAAGGAGCTCACATTCTTTTTTTGCAAATTGAATTTTTTTCAATGAACAAAAATGTTCTTTTTTTCCCTTCTTCTACCCCCCAATGAAAAAGAAAAACAAAACCCTTGTAGTAAGAATGCATAGTCAAGTAAATCAAATTCCCTCATTCACCATGTCCAAAAAATATTTCAGGCTGCACTGTGAGTTCTGTTATTCTAGCATGTTTCATCATAAATCCTCTGGACCAGTGTTTGGTCAAAAATTTTAAGTCTTCCACAGTTGTTTGCCTTTACAATGTTGCTATTATTTAAATTGTTCTCTTTCTGCTTACTTCATTCTGTATCAGTTCATGCAATTATTTCCAGATTTTTTTGAAACCATCCCCTTCATCATTTCTTTCAGCACAATTGTATGCCATTACATTTATAGAACATAATTTGTTCAGCCATTCCCAAGAGCATCCTCTTAGTTTCCTGTTCTTTGTCACTACAAAAAAAAGCTTCTAGAAATATTTTTGTATGAATGAAAAGTAGCTCATATTCTAATGAGGAAGGCAACACACAGAAGGTTTCAGGTGCAAGACACATAGGTCCTTAGGATGTAGCAGCAAAGCAGATGTAATGCCTCTTTTTTCATCTTAGTTCTACTAATCAAATAATATCCTATTCTGATGTTCAGCCAAAGACTCTCACAGAAGAACTTTGTTTTCTAGGTTTCTATAGCTGTGGCTGCTGAGGAGGGAGGGGTCAAAGCACCCACAGAAGCAGTCACCAGTTTGAATCTCCAAAGGGATAATGACTTCTTGGGATACTGACTGCTAGGGCCAGGCAGAACCATGAGCAGTAGTCTGAGGAGCACTGCACTTTGGGGACTCTCAGGCTTACCTACCTGTTGGTGGCAGTTGGCAGCTGGTGTTTGAGTTGGCAAAGAATTGTTCAATCAAAGGGTAGGGAAAGTTTGCTCACTTTTCTTACATAATTTCCCACTGATTTCCAGAATTATGAGACCACTTTAAAGCTCCACCAACAATGCAACAGTGTCAGTCTTCTGACATTAACTATTCTCATCTTTTTTTTCATCTTTGCCAGTTTTCACAGAGTCAGGTAAAACCTCAGAGTTGTTTTAATTTTAATTTCTCTTTACCATTAATGATTTGGAGAATATTTTCATGTGGTGACTTACAGTTTGTGAATCTTTTGAAAACTTCATTTTTTGTTACTATTTATTTTGGGGGGAATGGATCTTGGTGTTATATATTTGCGTCCAGGTGACTTTTTTTCTTAACCAGACCTACAATTTCATTGGTATAAGCAACTTCCTTTGAGGAACTTCTTCTGTCAATGTTTCTTGAATGATTCCCTGCACTCTAGACCCTTAGTTCTCCCAGCTTGCTCTCTTCATGACAGTATCAAAACCCTGAAACTAATTCTATTCTCTATCTACTCCTCAGGTGAGTACTCAGAGCCTATTCATCCTTTGGGGTCAAGGCTTCTACAGAGATGGCCTCTTTCCTTCTGAGGCAGAGGTCTACCCAATCAGATTTAGAACCTCCCGAATCACTGGGTGAAGTACTCTGGGAGGAGGAGGTGGAGAGAATATGCAGCACCAAGGTAGCACTACAGGCACTGCCCTATGCCATGATGGACAAACGGCTCATCAGGTGGGTTTTCTAGGGAATCTCCTGGCAGAATTAGTGATAGTGCCCAAGAGGCTTTGCTGTTCATTAGACGGCATCTCCAGCATGAGTGGAAAGTGGAGGGGCTGTTCAGAAAGCTTAAAGGAAGGAATATGAGAAAAAGAAAAAGAATCGGGTGCAGAGAATGGGGTGGGGGATAGGTAAAGAAATAGAGAACAGAGGAACAAGCTTGTGGCACCAATCCTGAGATGACCAGCTAGCTCAACTTAATAAACATTTATAGCTAGGTTCTAATTAGTATGAATATTAAATCCCCTGCATAGATTTGAATTTGCACCATTCAAAGATATAATTGTATGAAATATGGCAATTGGTTTGAGCCCAGTGGAAATATGTAGGGCAAATTCAAACAAGGGTTTGAATTTTAGGGGTTTCATTATTTAAATTTATCAAGACCTTGCTGTATTAGGAACTTTCTGTGGGCAAGGCCCTGGGGACCCAGAGACAAGAACAAAGCTGTCATTTTGCTCAAGGAGCTTATGTTCTGCTGAGGAGATACAACAGAAAGGGATTGTGTGACAATGGAAAAATTATGAATTCTAAAGTCAGAGGAGCTGGGTTCAAATTTCACCACTTACTACTTTTGTGTCTTTCGGCAAGCCATTTTCTTCAAACTATTAAGTGAAGGTGTTCCAGTTTTAGCTCTATGATCTCATGTGTACCAGGGGAATCAAGGTGAGAGATTATAAATAAATGGAAATCAGGAAAGGTTTCATGAAGGAGTTGATCCCTGAGTAATTAGCCTTGAAGGAAGAGAAAGCTTTTGAGAGGCAGAGATGAGGGGGGGACTGCATTCTGCACATGGCAGATGGCCTATTCCAATGATGTGTGGAGGGAAGAAATAGAATGTCACATTCAGGAAACAAGTAGTTGATTTTTTGCTGGAAGATAGCATTTGTCTAGAAGAATCAGGTGGAACGAGAATGTAATCATCCCCTCTCTCACCTCCTTCCAATGCCAAATAATTTCAGAACCTCCTTTGTCCTGGAAGTAGGTAGAGAGCTTAGGAAGGTGAGAGGCAAGAAGCTGGAACTTAGAGGTGTTCCCTTCACCACCATCCCTTTCTCCCAGGCACCTCCGGGAGCCAGATGGGGTAAAGACCTCTTTCTGGGAACAGTGGAAGAAGAAATGGCAACGTGTCCATCAGCAGTTCCTGGATGTGAGCCACAGGCTTATGGGGATCTTTGGGCTCTGGAAGACTGACCTCTATGAGATTGGCGGTAGGATCCCCTTCCCCTTCCCAAAAAAAAGCCTTCCATAATACTTCTAATTGTCTTCCCCCCACCCCTGCCCATCACCGTCAGACAGGGTAGTCTCAATGTCCAATTCTGAACGTGGTGTGGGAGCATCACCACATAGGTCCTATTGATCAAACCCCAGATTTACGGAGGCACAGTCTGGACTCCTTCTGCCAATCCACCCCTTCCAGTCAGTTCCCAAGACAACTAACCCCCTTAGGCAAGAAAAACTCTGGGTAGCTATTCTGGATCCAGTGAGAGGAGCTGTGCTCCCGATTCAAACTCATGTCAAATCCCCACCAATTAACCTGAGGGAAGCTGCCCATAGGAGCTATGGCCCAGGCCTGCTGCTGGGACTCAGGGAGGTAACCTTCAGGACCGACTTGATGCTCCAAAGACCTAAGGCAAGTAGGTGAATTGCCACTACCCTTTCTGGTTCCCCTGTCTCCTCTTCTCCCTCCTCCCAGCTTGAACTTATGCTTTGGAGCCCCCTCCCTTTTGGCCCTTTTGAGTCACCTTTCCTACTTATTTTAATCTTATGTCACCCAGTATAAAAATGAGGGTGGCCATACTGTGATGCTGTCCAGAATTTATACACCCCTTCCCAATCAATAACAGTAATAACAACATTTACTAAGTGCCTTCTGTGTGTGGAGCCCAGTATTGGGCACTGGGGGTGGGAGAGATACAATTTAGCTATAGATGGTCTCTGTCATTATGAAGCTTATATGCCTCTCAGGTGATAGTGTTGCATGTGGAGCTCAGTCCTTGGCCAGCTCTATGCCTTCGTACCTTCTCCACCCCCCCCCCACCTGCCCCTACCATCCTCAGTCTAAGGAGTAACAGGTATGGGCAGAAGTCTTCAGGGACCCAGGGCTTCTGAAAAGGCCTTAGTCCAAAGGAGGTACAGGGGTTCAAGTCCCACCTCTTCTGATACTCCCTCTCCCATATACATATGCTTTGAAAAGCCCTACCCATTGCAGTAGCTTCTACCCAAAGATGAGTTGGTAAATATTTAACAACCAGCTTGGGGGTAGGGGATGTAATATGCATATAACATACTTCTCAGTTCAATGTGAATTATTAACATTTTCTCCATCACTTTCTTAAGTCTAGCCAATCAACAAAACAATAAATGAATTCCTGATTTGTGTAGCATGATTTCAGAGGTGTCAATGTTCACACTGCAAATTTAACAATCAGCTCCCCAGAAGTAGAGCTGGCTCCTGCAGGTCCCTGGGCTCCTCACCCTATTTGCTCCAAGCCATCTCCCCCACTGCTTTGTCCCACAGGGCTCTTTGGCACAGGGATCCAGTCCTATTTCACTTTCCTTCGTTTCCTGATGGTCCTCAACCTGCTCACCTTTCTGCTGACCTCCAGTTTGGTGCTGCTGCCTCTGGCCTGGCTCCATTCACCTGAACCAGGCCCTGCCCTCAACACCTGTGAGTAGCTGCTTCAGCCTCCCCAGTCCAGTTCCCAGTCCCTGACCCCAGGTTCTATTTTCCCTGGCCTGGTCCACTCTGGAGTGTCCTGCTTTGGTAGGGAGGTAGGAATGGAGGATATCGGCTTCCCCTGCACATATTCCCCTAGCTAAGGTCAAATCACCCTAATATAGAAAGCTCAACCTTTGAAGAAATAAACAAAATATCTAGAGATTACCAAGGAAAACAATATATTGAAATATAATTATCAGAATATTTAAAAAAAAAAACAAACTTAAGGAACCCAGGTTAAGAACCCCTGCAGAGGGTATGAGGGTATTTGTTCAAGTACCAAATGGTTAAGAAGCATTTGGAGGAGGGGAGGGGAGAAGGTCCCGCCTTGTAGCTGATCTGTAGTGGGTAGCATCAAGGAAAATGACATCAACTGCCCCCTAAGAATGTTTGTCTAGTGACCCCAAGTTATAGGAATTGGTCGAGCCTTCTGAGGGGTGATGGTTCTATCCTGCCCAGGTGATAATAATAATGATGATGATGATGATGATGATGATGATGATGATGATGATGTATATTGTGCTCACTATATACCAGATACTGTGCTAAGCACTTAATAATTATTATTAATTATAATATTTATAATATAATATTATATATAATATAATAATTATTAATAATAAAATAATTATTTTCTCATTTCATCCTCACAACCTTACAAGTGCATGTGCTATTATTAATATATAGGTGCTATTATTAACCCTCATTTTATAGATGTGGAAACTGAGGCAAACAGGTTAACTGACTTGCCCAGGGTCATACAGCTAGTGAGTATCTGAGGCGAGATTTGAACATTTCACCCACTGCACCATTTCACTGACAGCTCCCACTAGTTTCAGAAGTCCCAGCAATCCCAGACATAGCAGATCAGAACAGTCCTTGGGGGAGACTGCATTAGTGCTTTGCTTTGCATCTTACCATGTGTCCCCATATACCTGAGCAATTAGGCATGAGACTGAACAAATAATAACATCTCTTCAGCTAACAGGGCAACATGATCTAATAGAGAATTGTAGTTAGGGGGCAGCTGGGTGGTGAAGTAGATAGAGCACCGGCCCTGGAGTCAGAAGGACCTGAGTTCAAATTCAGCCTCAGACACATAACACTTGCTAGCTGTGTGACCCTGGGCAAGTCATTGCCCAACCAAAAGACAAAAAAGAGAGAGAGAGAATTATAGTTAGGAGGCTCACATTCAAGCTCTGGCCCTGGTGTTAACTAGCAGTGTAACTTTAGACAAATCATTTTACCTCTCTAGGTCTCAATTCCTCAATTCCTTCAACTATAAAATGAGGGGGTTGCTGTAAGGTCCTGCCTAGCCCAAGCATTTTTCTGTAATCTGTGATAATCAGCTTTTCCTGCTCAACTTTCTTCTGCCTCCTTTGGGCTAAAAGGGATCTGAATTGGTGAGGTGATATTAGAAGAGTGGAGAGGTGAGGATGCTATGTCACCTTGGGAAAATTTTTAAAAGCTTCTGCCATTCTACTCAGAGCCCAAACTAGCAGTTTTGTTTGTCCGGGGCAAATAGCACAAAATGTATCCTAAAATCAATTATTAAGACAAATTCAGTTGTATGAGGAGGGTTTGGGATAGTACTAAATAGTTCGGACACTTCATGGCACAGGCTTCATGAGGCCACTGAGGAGAGGGGAACAAAGTAGAGCCAGGTTAAGGAGAAGCTCATCTGAGGGGCAGCCAGATTTGGGGAAGGAAGAGCCACACTCTGGTAACTTCCTTTTTTAACTACCCAGATGCTAACCTCAGTTGTTTCTACACTGCTAAAGGACTGTTAAGTATTGTCATCACCCCCTAAATTGCATCATCCTGGAGCAAAGCCCTGATTGCCCTGCCCTAGTTATGCACCACTTTCTTCCTAACTGGCATCTCTTTCCAGCATACCATTGCCCTACCAGCCGTGAGCCCCAGCCCGATCTGAGCCGAATCCACTTGCACTTGTGGGATGTCTTCACTGGCAGGGTGAGTGTGACTTTGTCTGAACAGAGGAGTGGAGAGAAGGTGGGAGAAGGGAAATCTAGGTGGAAGCAGCTTTAGGTTTTTTGTTTTTGTTTTTGTTTGTTTGTTTCTTTTTTTTTTAGGTAACTGGGGTTAAGTGACTTGCCCAGAGTCACATAGCTAGAAAATGTGTCAAGTGTTAGGTCTGTGGCTGGATTTGAACTCAGGTCCTCCTGACTTCAGGGCTGGTGCTCTATCCACTGCTCCACCTAGCTGCCCCCTGGAAGCAGCTTTAGGCTAACAAATTGAGCCCCCAAATCTTTTGGAGATGTTGGGTCAGGGTGGCCAAAAAAAGCATAGACATATTTCTAGGCAGGACCAATTTGTCCAGAGGCTCAGGCCAGAATGTTCTCATCTTTCTTAATACTCAACAAAAGATCAGGCTACTCCATAGGCCCCTGTACATGTATCTTCTTATCTTCCAAGAAAAATCACACCCCGCTGGGGCAGCTAGGTGGCGCAGTAGATAGAGTCAGGAGGACTTGAGTTCAAATCCAGCCTCAGACACTTGACGCTTACTAGCTGTGTGACCCTGGGCAAGTCACGTAACCCCATTGCCTAGGGCCCCCCCCCAAAAAAAAGCAAACAAAAACGAAAATCACACTCTGCTCAAAGCCTGGCTGGGAGAGGGAGATCATGATTAGGCTGAGGGATAAGGAGGAAAAAATCTCTTGGTCTCTGAGATCAGGTCTGCCCCTCCTTGTGCACCCTTTCCCCAGGCTCTCAGCAACACCTACCTTTTTTATGGTTCATATCGAATGGGGCCAGAGAGTGATTCGCAGTACAGTGTTCGCCTGGCCTACCTCCTCAGTCCACTAACCTGCCTGCTTCTCTGCTTCTGTGGGACTGTACGACGGTGAGATTAGAACTCATGTTCCCTACTTCTCCATTCTCCCACCCCAGATCTAGGTTCCTTCTCTTCCTGAAAACCTAGCCCCATTTAGCCATTAATCTTACAGACCAAATCCATTTGTGCCTGTTGGCATCTTTTCAGGGCTGCTCAGTGACCAAAGGGATGTTACCTACCTCCAGCTGCAAATCCCCTGAATGCAGGGACCCTGTCTCCTCCTCTGTATGCCTCCCCATCTCTCTCTGTTCAGTGCCCAGGGAAGGGCTGTGACCAGAAGTCTCTTAGTCTGGGGGCTGACAGAATAACTGCTTGGAGGTCTACAGAAGAGAAGGCAAAGTCCTGGGGCAGTAGGGACTTGAGAGGATCTGAAGCACTATTCTGCCTCCTTCCTTCCCCTAGCTCCCAAGACACACGCACACGTACATGCGCACATGCATGCATACATATATACCTCTTCTGTCTAGCATGGTGAAGGGGCTGCTCCATAAGCGACTGCTGAGCAGGGATTACAGGCCCCGACTCAGCAGCAAGGTGTTTGTCTCCTGGGATTTCTGCATCCGAAGCCGGGAAGCTGCCACCATCAAGCAACACAGCATCAGCAATGAATTCAAGGTGCCACGTCTGGGGTCCGTGACTTTGATAGGGTGGAGAGGGCAGTGCTTACGAGGGAAGCAGGGGAGAGGGCTAATCCACCCAAACACCTCAGTCTGGGTATATGTGAAATGAAGGTTCTTGATGAAGGCTGAGCATTCCAGAGCTAGAGGCCACAGAGAAGAGGGAAGTTTTGATTTCTTAGAACGTTATTAGTGGTTTTTGCATCTAGGCAAAAGACATAAAATATTCTCAAGGTAAGTGGCAGGAAATGTGCCTTCAATTCATTTAGGGAGAGTAGTGGTAGTGAAGATTGTGGAACAATAAGAGGCTTTGCATGGTGTGGGGAGATGGGTATTAGTATTAGGGGATGTAGCTATACAGCAAGGAGATGCTGCATCTGCCCATGTCCCCACCAGGACCCTACTCCTATTCCTCACTTAGAGTTATCTCAAGAATATCTCTGTACCAGCCCTAAACATGATTCTTTTCTGTTCCTGTTCATCCCCTCAATTATTTCTGACCGTGTGCCTATATTAGATACAATACAATCCTTTTGCAGGCCACAGCCTTGCAGTGGTCCCCATCCTTGCCCAGCCCTAACCGCACCCCCTCCCACCTTTATCATCTTGTGTCCCCATTTCAGATCGAGCTCCAAGAGGAGCAGCGCACCCTGCAGATGCAGCAGCAAACGAGAAAGCAAAGGGCCCGACAGCTTCTTTCTTATGTGGGACTCAACATGATCATAGGACTCTTGGTGGTTGGGGGTATCAGTGCCATCTACTGGGCCACCAAGTTTTCTCAGAACTATAAAGATGTGAGTAATGGTCTTCTCCTTCTTCATGAGGGTCTGTTGTTAAGCCCACACCTCTTCTGGAAACCAGCCTCCATTGAGGATAATCAGAATATTACATGATAATATAATGATGGGGGATTCTCACTTTAATCCCTGTAATACTTCATCGTGGCATGGATTCAAACCAGGATTCTTGAAAGCTGTGCCATGAAAGCTCAAGCTGCAAAAGGTCCTCCCAAACTGGCAGAGTCTGTATCAGTTGTCAAAAGACTAGCTAAGTTTGGATAGAATCATTACCAGAACGCCGACTTTTTTTTTGGGGGGGGGGAACCGTAGCAATTCCTTGAAGACCTTCTATCGAGGCATGGAAGCGATTGCAATTTGAATTAGTGAAAGGTGTAGCCACACAGTAAATTTTTATAATATGGAAGTATGAGGCATCCCCTTCCTTCCTCCTTTGTCTGCCCTCTGTGGGTCCTCTCACCCTAGTGGGCATCTTGTTTCCCAAGTTATCCCATCTTAAACTGCTCACCCCTTTCTTCTCCTAGGAGTCTCTCTCTTTGCTGCTTCAGTACATGTCACCTGGAGTCATTTCTCTTGTCAACAATCTGGGGCCCCTGTTGTTTGGATTCCTGGTCCAACTGGAGAATTATCCCCCCAACACCGAGATCAATCTCACCCTTTTTTGGTCAGTACTACTTTGGTAAGGGAGGATAAGACCCCTGAGCTTGAGTTCAAAATGTTGGTGTCCAACAGGTCTATCTTTAGACCAAAGACAGAGAGACCTCCAAAAAGAGGCTCCCTGAATTCATGCCTGCTATCACCCAAGGATCCAAAGAAAGGATCTACTTTTTAGATTGTAACCTTAGCACCTCAGTTCTTTCATTCCTTTTGGTTGCATTCCTCAGTGGTAAGCCATCGCCATGTTATACTCAATTACCTATTTATTGTAACAGTAAACTACTTGATCATAGGAATCCGAGGGTACAAACATAATACATAGAAGAAAATTTTAGTTATATGGTAGAATTAGAGACCAAACAGATCTAGCTTAAAGTAGAAATTGTACTCGGGATTTTCTTGAGTTCTAAATTGTTTCTGTCCAGTTTTCCAAGTTTGGCCCTGCCCAACCTGTCTTTCTCTACCTGCCTCTCTGATAAGTTTGTCTCATGCTCAAACTTTTGTATTCAACACAAGCAAGAGCCATCCTCTCTCAGCTCTACTGGATGCTGAAGAAACAAGGTCCTTTCCTTTTTGGTTTTCTGGGAAGTTGTACAAGTCCTAACCAACTCATATTTTTAGGCATATTGCTTAAAATGCCCCAGCTCTCCTCAGTCTTTCTGACTAATGTATGCTTTATCTTGTTCATACATCTTCCCAGAACTATCTTGTCTGGTCCCTTATCACATGCTAACAATTAATAGCGTATGTATTAGTATCTGACATATGTAAAATGGCTTTACCTCTGCCATAATACCAGCATGACTGGGGAAAGGGCTATTCATCACAGCTTCCCAGTTCTTGAAAATAATCCTTGAGAGGCTGGCTTCATAAATAACAGCTATTTTATTCTCCCACCAAACACCCCTGGGTGCCATGGTCAGAGACCATGGGTAACTCATGAGTATTACCCAATGTAGCATTTCTTACAACTTCATATGTTCATATCCATGTGATCTGTTGATCTTAATCCCTCCCATGAGACCCAGACCCTGGGACATTATTTCCTTGAGATCCTCCGGGGGCAGGTAGGTGGTGCAGTGGAACCTTGGAGTCAGGAGGACCTGAGTTCAAATTTGACCTCAGACACTTGATACTTACTAGCTGTGTGACCCAGGGCAAGTCACTTAACCCTGATTGCCTAAGTAAACATTTTAAAAGTTTAAAAAAAAAAGAGATCCTCTAGGAAAATAGTATCTCAGAGGTGGGTCTAGACTCTTTCCAAAGTCAGAGGGTCACTAGAAGTTGAGAAGGGTGGTCTCAGTCTCAGACATGGTAGGGCTCTGAAGGACCACCCTGACTTCACTTTCTACTTTCATATAGAGTAGGTGCTCCCTAGATCTGTGCTCACCCAGTCTTAATGACCGCGACATTCAGTGGGTACCCCCACAGGCTAGGTTCCCCCTTCTTCACACTATGACTTGCACTCCCGCAGGTGCGTGGTTCTGAAGCTGTCTAGCTTGGGCATGTTCCTTTTTTCACTGAGACAGCAAGCAGTGCTATGTTCTGGCAGAAGTGACCATTCCAGCTGTGAGCCCCATGGTTATAATCAATGTGACCAGGTGACAAGCACCTCTGGCTGAGGTGGAGGGGAACCTGGGGTGCTGCTCCCTTTCCCTTAGAAGCCAGGGAAGTTAGGCATTGCAATTGGTCAGTGATAGGACTCAGACCTAGCCTTTGTGCTTCCCTCGGTTCTTAAGACCTTTTCTTTTGGCTCCCCTGGCCTCCTTTACAGACTGTGTTTTGGCATGACACCTAAGGCTCACATCTCCCCTCCCTTCTCCATCACTGACCAGACCAATCAGATCCTTGACTTCAGGGTTGGGAAAGTAACATCAGCCCACAAGTGAGGATAGTGCTTCCTGGGTGCCCCTTTTCTAGAGACAGTGTGGAAAAGGGGGTGGGTCACTGGAGTTCTCTCTGTTTTCTACTTCCAGTGCTGGGAGAATTCAGTGGGTCAGGAGTTATACAAGTTGAGCATATTTGACTTCTTCCTCATGCTGGCCTTTGCCTTCCTGATCACCCTGCCAAGGAGGTAAGAAACCTCACCTCCTTATCCTACCCTGACATCATTGCTCTGGGAGACAAGGAAAAAGAGGCTTAGGAAAATGTGTCAGGGGCTAGAGAGAGTGATGGGAATGTTTACCTGTATAAATATGGACAGGTATAAATTCACATTTATATGAGTGTATATGTGCATCACAAATCTGTATCAAAATGTGTATATAACTATGATTAGTATAGGTGAGGAGAGATGGAGGGAGGGAAAGAGAGAGAAGGATAGAGGGAAGGTAAGAGAGAGAAGGATGGAGTGAGAAAGGAAAAGAGGGAAAGAGAAAGGGAGAGAAAAAGGAAGAGGAGAGGAATGAAAGAAGGGAGAGAAGAAGAAAAGAAGAGAGAGGGAAAACAGAAGAAGGGAAAGAGGGAGGGAAAAATAGAGGAAGGAGGGGGCAGCTAGGTGGTGCAGTGGATACAGCTCTGGCCTTGGAACCTGAGTTCAAATCCGGCCTCAGACACTTGACACTTACTGGCTGTGTGATGCTGGGCAAGTCGCTTAACCCCAATTGCCTCACACACAAAAAAATGTGGGGGGGGGAGAAGGAGAGAGAGAAGGAGACAGAGACAAAGAGAGAATGTATGTGCAAAAGCATGAGAAAAATATGACAGTATCTAGGCTGCCCACAAGAAACTCTATGCTGTCTATAGATGCCTTTTTGACCTTGGACAAGCACTTCCCCCCACTGGGCCTTAGTCTTCTCAGCTTTGACGTGCTGCAGTTTCACAATTTTAAGTAAGAGATGAGTATCTCTTGCTTCTTTGCACCTATGATGCCTAGGGGGTACTCAGTGGTACCCTTGTTCCCCACCTGACTTCAGGCTGCTGGTAGATCATCTCTCAGGCCAGTTCTGGGTCTGGCTGGGCAGAGAAGAATTTCTGGTACCCAAGAATGTGCTGGACATTGTAGCTGGACAGACGATCACCTGGATGGGACTTTTCTACTGCCCCCTACTGCCTCTGCTCACCAGCATCTTCATCTTCTTCACCTTTTATGTCAAGAAGGTAAGAAGCCATTATTGAAAAGGGAATAAGCATTTATACAGTGCCAACTAGGTTGCAGTGTAAAGTGCTAAGCATTGTATAAATATTATCTCTTTTGATTCTCCTGCAAGGTGTGTTGTTATCTCCATTTTACAGATGAAGAAACTAAGCAAACATTAAGTTATTTGCCCAGGGTAATGCAGCTAGTATTTGAGACGTGATTAGAATTCAGGGTCTTCCTGACTCCAGGCCCAGAGCTCTATCCACTGTGCTACCTAGTTGGGGAAAGGAAAGGGAAGTAGAGAAACATATAAAGATCAGGTAAATTTGAGGCAGGAGCTCTAAGGAGATGATTAGGTAGCTATCCTTAAGGCCAGGCAGGGGGAAATAAGAAATTAAACTAGAAATTTTTTTCCTGGACTAAATTAAATTGAGAATAAGTGTCCACCTGACAGAAAGAACAGTATACTGTTTGTAGTAGTACTGTGTCCCAGAGAGTACTGCTCAAGCCAATGTGTACTCGGACCCTAGGGGGTGAGAGGACAGGAAAAGGAGGTAGGAGGAGAGCCCTTCCAAGACAACAGTGGAGACGAAGTGCAACTTCCCCATGTTGGTTCCCTGGAGCAAAGCCCCAGTTGCTCAACCCTAGTTATGGCTCTGGAAGAGATGGTTTGCCAAGAATCTTCCCCTCAGCAGAAGAGAGAAGCCAGCTTTACAGGCTGTGGTGCTTTAGCAAATGTGAAGACATTGAGCAGGGAAGTCGCAGTAAACATTGGGTTATGACCATTCTGCCTTTTAAATCTGGGAGAAATATCCTGCATAATCTCTCCTCTCTCACCTCCCTATAGTACACTCTCCTCAGGAACTGCAGGCCCTCCCCTCGCCTCTTCCAAGCCTCCAGTGCCACCTTCTTCTTCCAGCTGGTCCTCCTGCTGGGCCTCCTCGTGGCCTCTGTGCCTCTGCTCTATGTCATCAGCAGGTAAGAAGTCTCAGGGGTAGGAATGTCCCTTATGGGGGCATCTGTCCTGCTCCAGCCTCCTTGATTTTCCTTCTCTACCCTTTCCTCTGCAGCATCCCCTCCTCTGTAAACTGCGGCCTTTTCTCCAACTACTCAGCACCCTGGCAAGTGGTTCCAGAGGCCATGGCCTTGCGACTCTCACCATCAGCCCAGAAAGTCTTTTACTACTTTGGTTCCAATACCTTCTGGTACCCCATCCTCATCTTACTTAGGTACTGCCTCTGGATCAAAGGCGGGGAGGGGGTGCAGGAGCCAAAGCACAGCAAGCAGATGTACCTGGAAGCTAGTACATCCATGACAGCTAGAACTGGTTTATCTAAATATTGTATTTTCCCTAGTGCCTAGCACTGTTCTCTGTACATGTAGGTGCTTGGTACATGTGCTTTAAATGAATGAATGAGGGGCAGCTAGGTGGCACAGTGGATGGAGCTCTGGCCTTGGAGTCAGGAGGACATGAGTTCAAATACAGTCTCAGACACAAGACACTTACTAGCTGTGTGACCCTGGGCAAGTCACTTAACCCCATTGCCTAGCCAAAAACAAAAAACAAAAACAAATAAATGAATGAATGAATGAGTTAAATCAGCCTGATATGTGTGAAGACGGGAAACTGAGACTGAAAAAGAGTCTGAGGATCAAAATTTCATACAGGAATTCTATACTCATGGGGCCCCTGAAATAATTATAGAGCTAGAGAGAGAGCCGTTTTTCCACCCTCTTTTCATGAAGATCACTGGGCTCTGTGAGTTGCCAATCAAGCTAACTAGTGACAGTTTTCATTATTTCTTCTTGCCATTCTGGCTACCCTGATGTTGATTTACATATGCACCACCTGGAGATCAGAGATGAGAGAATACCAGAAACTTCCTCTTCCTTCCCTTTTCTTCTGTGGGCCTCAGTTTAGCCATCTGTAAAATGAAGACTGGCCTCTAAAGTAACCTTCTAGCTCTAAATTTATGATCCAGTAATCATTTAAAAAAAAAGTCATACAAAATGTGCTTTGTTCTAGAAATAAGTCCAGATCCTAAGATTGTGGCTTAGTACCACTGAATACTTTGTAAGTAATTGGGAAGAGATGAGAAGGGTGAGGCTCACCTCTATTTTGTAGCCTATTGCTCCCAAATGCCCCTTTGGGTTGATTTTGACCCTGCTGAAGAGAGAAGTCGGGGACCATTGAGAGAAAAGAAGGAGTGGTCCATTATCTTGACTATAAAGCATGTTTATATGATACAAATCAGCACCTGGAGATTTGAAGTGACTTCAGATGGGGGAGGAGTGTGCTGCAGCAGGGAGGTAGTGGGCTGAGATGAAAATGGCCAAGGGAAGGGAAGCTGTGTCCAGGACTGAATGAAGCCTAAGATTTGTTACTTTCTGCTTTCCTGTTTCCTCAAAGCCTTACACTGACTGTGTGCCTCTCCCAATCCGGGGCCAACAAAAGGGCCATCAAGGGTCTCAGGAGACAGCTGCTATGGGTGAGTGTGGTGGGAGGGTGGGAGGCAGGCCCTGGAGGGGCTCTGAGGCAGGGAATGAGCTAGTGTTGGGACCAGGGACTAGGGGGTGGATCTTAATCTGGAGTCATGGCCTGAGTCGGGAATTAAGCAGGACGTCACTCCTTAATTACCATTTTATCTGAGTGCCCATTCCTTGCCTCTCCTTTTAGCAAGTACGGGAAAAATGGCACCTGGTGGAGGATCTGTCACGACTGCTGCAAGAGTCAGGAGGGTCTGATTCTTGGGGGCCTGAATCTCCTAGTTCCCGATCTTCCCGTCCTAGATCCTTCTGCCCTGGATTCCCTTGTCCTGGATCTCCCAGGTCCAGATCATTCATGGTAGGATCTACTCATTCTCAGGTCACTAGCTCCTTCTCCTTTCTTTGATATACCTGCCCTTAAGTTCTAGTCCACTAGTCTCACCACATCCACATTTCTCTTTCTTAGCATTCCAGAACCCTAATCCCCAGGGAGACTGAGATGAAGAGGCCTCAGCTGTGACCTTTTTACCCCAAAGTAGGAGGTTCTAGGTCTAGCCTAAGAGGAACTTCTCTGGGTGATCAAAGTTCCTGATCTCCCCTCCTAATCATAGCACTTTTTTTTTCATTGCATTGTGTTTTGAAATCATCTACCTTTTTTCTCATGTTGGTTGGTCACCCAACTAACCTCGCCTAATGGAGTCTCCCTCTCTGGGCCAGAGACAGGACCTGGAAGTATATACTGTATATGCATACATTTCCATACATGTGTATGAATCAATGATAAGCATTTATTAAGTAAGCTCTCACTATATACTATATACTGTGCTGTGGGGATACAGTCCCTGCACCTTGCATTCTAAGGGAAGGGAGAGATAACACGTGAAGGGGAGCTAGAAAGGACAGGGGCGACTATACATGTCTTGCAAATATCTAAGAAATAAGATGGAGGCCTGGTTCTGGGCAAGAGCTTATCTATCAGAGACCATGGTGGTCCTGGGGTAGATGGTCAAAGAGATATAGACTGAGTGGGCCAAAGAAGACCTAAATTGGGATTCCCACCTTTGCCACTGATTTTGAACAAGTTATTTAACCCTCAAAAGTGTTTCCGGATCTATAAAATTGGAGGTAGTAATATTTTCCTTCCACCTCAGTAGGATAATTTTGAGGATTAAATGAGATTTTCTACATGCACACAGTGCTTTGTAATCATAAAGGCCTTCATAAATGCCAATTGTTGTCCTTATTATCCATGAGTCAGAGAAGTCTAGGAAGTTTAGGTAGAATTGGAGGGCCCCAAGTGAACTAGATAACTGGTCTTCGGCAGACCTGAGCCCCTCTTTAGATGGAGGACTGAACTTACAAGATTTTCCTGGAAAGCTGTGCCCAGAGATATTCCAGTCTCTGTTGCCATGCCCACTTAAGTCAGTCACAAGTCTGCTGCCCCAGAGCTCCAGACTTCTGTAATGGCCACACTGGCTACCACTTTTGCATTATCTTCCTCCTTGATATCCTCGTGACTGAGAAAGACATGGAAGAGGACTAGAGTGCTTTAGCTCAGCCTAAATCCCAGACCTCCTGCATCTTCTATGAGATAGCCCTGGGCTAACATACTTGGGTGACTAATGCAACATGTTTTAGGTTCTCTCATTAGTCAAGTCAACCACACCCAGGCAACTATCACACCCTGCTTCACACTCACTCCCCCTCCCCTTTTCCTACCCTGTCTTTATTCCAGGTTGGGTTAGGATAATTGAATTCCTTTCAGTCCTTGTCATGTTCCTAAGAGCTAGTACATGGCCAGGTTAATTGCCCTGAAGTTTTAAGCTTTGAAGCATTTAGTATCACCGGAAGGGAAAGGATGACCTTTGTCCTATATTCCTGCTGCCTAGGCAAAATCCCAGCTCTTTGATGTGTCTAAAATGGGGGAGAAGTGGTATTATAAGTAAAATATTTACCTAACAGAGACCTTTCTAGGAAATTACTTTGTGAATCTTAATGCTCAGTGAGTTGGTAATCTATAGCCTGCACATCATCCTGTTGTCTGAATTATCTTCCCCTAGGACCCTGGAAAATAAAGATTTGGGGAGAAAGAGACCGACAAAGTGGTTTCTGATGATTATCTATCCCTTCATAAGGAAGCTTATGGCATGCTCACTCCATTTGGAGAAGAAGCCACTTGATGGGATGGAGTAATATGAGATCTATTCACTGCTATGCAGAACTAGCTATCTCTTCTTCCATTACCTTTGAAAAGAGGACTTGCTGATAACAATGCAAGCAACAGGGCATGGGACTTGAACAGCAGGCTGTTCAAGACTGAGACTGCTGGAGACTTGTGCTGCGGAAGCAGTAGAGCCTGGAGCAGAGATGGAGATTAGAATATAAAAAGAAAAGATCCTGAGTCCCAAGACTGGCTGTTGTGATTTCGAACTGGGCTGGTGAGCTAGCTGGACAGGGCAGGTCGATTTCCTTTCACTGTTATTCCCTGTTTTCTATTATCCATAATCCACAGATAGAATCACACACACACACACACACACACACACACACACACACACACCCCTTGCCTCCTTCCCATTTTCCTTTCTATCGTCTATGTCTATGAATAATTAAGGACTTTTGCCTGCCACCTCCAAAGAACTAGGAGGGCAAGTGGGGAAAGGTTGGTGAGATAGCTTCATGTGGAACATGTGAACCTTTTACTTTGTCTTTTGTTGTTGTTGTATTCAATAAACTCTGTGATCATGTCGTGTTAAGTATCTGAGTTTCTGCGGACATGGGAGAGTGGTGTCCAAAGAGAGTCGAATTGAAGGAGCAGCTCAAAAGCCATCCAGACATGGGGTGAGGAGAGAGGCTTTAGAGTCCAGACATGGAATAAGGACTCTAGAAAATAGATTTTATATTTAAATATTTTGAGAAATATTTCATTTAATTCCTTAGTTTAATTCCATACCTACCCAGCATAGCAGCTTGATGCCCCATAGGCTCAGCAACATAGAAACAGCCTATGCATTTGCAGGCCAAGTGCCCTCTAGTGGCCACAAGGGGTACTGCAAGTCTTTTAGGCACGCAAAGCCCAGGCAACTGGGTTGCTGGCTTGAGTAAATCAATCAATCGATAAACATTTATTAAGCACCTACAATGTGCCAGGCAACGTGCTAAGTGCTAAGGATTCAAAAAGGGACAAAAAAAAACCAGTCCCTGCCCTCAGGGAGCCTACAAATCTAAAGAAACACAACCAGATAGGCACCTATGTTGACTCACTAGATAATTAATATGGTGACGTATTGCCTTTTTTTAGGTTTAAGGAAAACATCATATGAGCCTATTTAGACTGTTTTCAGTGACATGAATTATTACTATTATATGTGTATATTCTTGAGCCAAGAGCAGGACTGTATTCACCCAGAATCCTATCCCTTAGTTTTCACCCAACATCATAGAATAGTTTTCATTTTCTTGTTCTTTTCCTTCTTTTTCTTTTTGCAAATTCTTTTTTTTAAAGTTAATTGGGGTTAAGTGACTTGCCCAGGGTCACACAGCTAGTAAGTATCAAGTGTTCAGTCTGAGGCCAAATTTGAACCCAGGTCCTCCTGACTTCAAGACCAGTGCTCTATCCATTGCGCCACCTAGCTGCCCCTTTCCTTTTTTTTTTTTTTGCAATGGAACAATCAAGATCTCAGGAGAAATCTCTGCATGTGTTTAAAATACCCCAAATCCACATACCTGGGTGTTGGTACTTGCTATAGGGTCAGAGAAGTCCAGTGATTCTCTCCTGACCCTAGAAGAAATTCTCTTCAACCTGGAAAGTAGGATTGGACTCAGAAGTATCTTCTTATTTGCCTATTACTCAAATTTTAGAGAGACTTAGGAAATAGGGGGCACCCACACTTGGAGATGGTGATAGCCAAACCATGCTAAAACTCATGACTATAGCCCAGTAGGTCCGAGGGTGATGACAGGAAGCCTGGGCCATTCACAACCTCAGGAGGTCATGACAGAAGGGCCAGGCCTATTAGGTCAGTGACCCAGCTGGAATATCATGCTTTAGGAGAAATGGGAGAAGTGGTTGTCCATGGAACCAATGATGCCAATTACTGTAGAGCAGGATGCTATGTATATAATTGGAGAATGCTGTTATGAGTAGCTTATGACTTCTGTGTTTGTTATGCAATATGCTTTTATTGCTGTATTTAACATCATTGCTATATATGCTGGTATGCAATGTTATGAGTGCACTATTGCTTTGGTACATGCATGTTTCTGCACATGATTTTTATATGTGGTTACTGGACATGATTCTGTTATGTGATACCATGTGTTGTGTACTGTGCCCTTAGTTTAATATATACCATGTTGTCATATGTGCTATTGATTATATGCAATATATTATGATTGTCAAATGTGCTCATGCTAGCTGCATGCAGTTCTAGTATGAATGTCATGTATTAGATATCTGCATGTACACTCTATCATGTAGTTGGATATTACTTGTCAATGTGTTTCACCCATGTTGTACATTCACAAATGCTCAAGTGTATACCATGACATTTTTAGAATTGCAAATCCTTTAGTGGGGGGAGGAGATGTAGAGAGACAAAAAAGTTTTTCATAGACTTGTATGGACTGATGCTGAGAGAAGTGAGCAGAACCAGGAGAACATTGTACGCAGTAATAGCCATGTTGTGTGACAACTAACTTTGACAGACTTGGCTCTTCTCAGCAATGCAAGGATCTAAGACATCCCCAAAGATCTCATGATGGAAAATGCTATCCACATCTAAAGAAAGAACTATGGAGTTTGAATGCAGATCAAAGCATGCTATTTGCTATTTTTTCTTCTGTTTTGTTTTGTTTTCTCTTTCCTGTAGTTGCTGCTATTAGTTCTAATTCTTCTTTACGACATGACTAATGTGAAAATATGTTTAATAGGAATGTATATGTATAGCCTATATCATATTGCTTGTTGTCTTGAGGAGGGAGGGGGAGAAAAATTTAAAACTCAAAAGCTTATGGAAGTGATTGTTGATAAAATAAAATTAATTTAAAAATATTAAAATGACCAAAAACAGTTTTTCATTGTCCAGAATTATAGCACTGAAGGGTTTGTGGCTGATGGAGAAGTGTGATAAAAGAAGAAATGCAGAGTGGGGTAGGGCCTGAAGAACACTGACCTCACCTTCTAGGTTTACCTTTAGCCTGGGCTCAAATTCATTTGCATGCTAAACCAGATAGGCTCTTGGGAATATTTTAGAACAGAAAGTTTCAATCTCTGTTCATTGTTCTGTCATGTCTGACTCTCCATAACCCCATTTGGGGTTTTCTTGGCCAAGATATTGGAGTGGTTTGACATTTCTTTCTCCAGCTCACTTTATAGATGAGGAAACTGAGGCAAATGGGGTTAAGTGACTTGCCCAGGGTCACACAGCTAGCAAATGTCTCAGGCCAGACTTGAACTCAGGTCTTCCTGACTTCAGGTCTGGCACTCTATCAACTATGACACCTAGCTACTCCAATCTCTGCTCAGCTCTAAGGATAGGGACAGAGACTGGATTTAAGATTTCATTGGTATGGGAAATTCCCAAGTAAGGAAACTCCCTCTACCAATTTAGGTTGGCATCTTTTCTGCAATTTATAGTCTTAAGGAGTTGCGCAGTGCCCAGGGTCACACAGCCAATATGTGTCAGAAGTGGTCCTTGAACCCTAGCTCTTCCTAGCTTCAACTCCAGGTCTCCATCCATTATGCCATGCTGTCTTTCATGTATTGTGAATTCCATTGAGATTTGTGTCCTTAGTTTAATTTATACCACACTGTCATGTATGTTATTGATTATATGCTATGTATTATGTTCATCATAGAGGCAACTGGGTGGCACAGTGGATAGAGTGCCAGGTCTGAAGTCAGGAAGACCTGAGTTAAAATCTGGCCTGAGACACTTACTAGCTGTGTGGCCCTGGGCAAGTCACTTAACCCTGTTTGCCTCAGTTTCTTCATCTATAAAATGAACTGGTGAAGGACATGGCAAACCACTCCAATATCTTTGCCGAGAAAACCCCAAATGGGGTCGCAGAAAGTCAGACTCAATAGAACAACAATGAGCAGAGATTGAAACTGTGTTTTAAGATATTCCCAAGAGCCAACTGGTTTAGCATGCAAATGAATTTGAGCCTAGACAAAAGATAAACCAAGATAGTGAGGTCATTATTCTCCAAGCCCTACCTGGAGTCAGGAAGACCTGAGTTCAAATTATGGCTCAGACACTGACTAGCTGTATGAACCTGAACAAGTCATTCTGTCTAGCTCATCTTCCTCTGCTGTAAAATGGGTATCTACTCCTCAGGATTGTTGTGAAAATCAAATGAGGTGATATTTGTATAGCACTTAACACAGCACCTGGTATATAGTACGCATTTAATGAATGCCTTGCTTCCTTAGATCAAATAACATGGATTGTGCTCATCAGCCCTGAGGTTTGAAAAGACTCAATATAAGCGTAGAACATTCCCTTTGTTAGCTGGGTGTGATAGCTACAACTAAAAAGCTGTCAGCTTTCCTTTATCATAGAGAGGTTTTGGCCACTATACCCTAGCAGACTGTGGCTGACATGGTTGGCAGTTGACCCTGAAGTGACCATCCCAGAAGCTAGCAGCATGGGACGATGCCCAGAAGAGATTACCACACCAAGCAGTTACCATTAGATGATGAAAACAATGCCCAGCTGAAACTCCACACTTAGCAGTTACCCACAGACCAGTGGAGACATCACACCCAACACAGAATAGGCCCAGTGAGGAGGGTGAGGTGACATTACCAGAAGATACCAATGATCCTGATAGGTCAAAGGCATGAGCTACCCCCTCCACACTTGTGCCACATTTCCCATGTATATGCCCTTAATCCCTATGTGTGTCTACTCTCCTCAAAGATGTTGTAAATATTTGTGCAAGACTGTGCCTCAGATTTATGGGAGGAAATATTCTATTGCAATTCTACTGCACTGTTTAAATGCCTTTGATTTTGACTAATAAATCCTCTGGCTGAATAGAGAAAAAAAATACATCAGTAAGAGTTTTGTGAGCTATGGTTCTGAATGGAGTGCACATGAACACGCAATAGCTATTAGGAGAACACTGTATAAAAGGGCATCACCAGATTCTACATCATTATTATTATTATTACATGCCTAGCTCTATGAGAGGCACTGGGACACAGTGGGACAGAAAGACTGTGCCATGCTTCCCTTCTTATTCATTCCTTAAATATCTGTTAAACACTCGCTGTGTATAAGGCACTATGCTAGATACAGGGCGGGGGAGTTCTGGATCAGAAAGGCACATCCCTGCCCTCATAGAAGTTTACAGTATAGTAGTGGGGATAAAACACAAGAGATATATTAAAAGGTAGGGTCTGAATGCACAGTTAAATATATACAAAGTACTGCTAGAAACGAAAGGAGAGACTATTTTCTTTTGGGGACGGAGGTAGACAGGGTGAAGGTGAGTCTCAGAGATAAAAAACTTCATGGATAAGGCAACATTTGAGATTGACTTGAAGTATGGATAGGAACTAAGGACAAGAAGAGATATGGTAGAAGGATTTTCCAGCTGGAGGAAATAACATATACAAAGGAACGAAAGTGGGAAAGTATGGGGACATATTTAAGGGTCAGAGATTAGTACTATTTGTGCAATTACTATTAGTGGAATTAAATCCTCAGACTTAGAAGCTCTCCAAGGGGATGTAGACAAGAGGATATTTGAGTGAGGGTGACTGGTGGGAAGTAATTATAACTGTCATCTGACTTCATTTCTACGGGCTCCTGGATAGACAGAGGCCCTCTGGGCATTACCTGGCTTTCCTGGTTATCTTCATGCTGCAGGCAATCCCTGATGGGCTGGGAAGAGGAGGGCAGGGCCCCTCCGGGGTGTGATATGAACCTGGGTGGCCCCCAGGGCCACAATCAAGTGGGTGAATAAGTAGAGAAGTGAAGAGAAGCATTAGAAGCCTATAAGGCAAAGGGACCTGGGGCTTAAACTATGGAGCTTCCTCTGCTCTGCATGGCCATGCTTGGTGAGCTGGATGAGTGGGGACAGAGGGGTGAAAGGAGGAGTCCTGGTGATAGCCAGAGGAAGGGATTAGGTGTACAGAGGAGGGTCTGGAGCTACACTGGGGAAAGAACTGCAGGCATAAAGAAGAATGAGACAGGAGCCTATGCCTCAATGCCCAGTGTCCTATGCTGTGCTCCCTTAGCCCCCTAGGGATCAGATACTGGGCTGTTTGCCCCTCTTTAGCCTTCCAGGCCCTCTTGCCCCTCAATTTTATGTTGAGACCGCTTCTTACCAAACTCGTCTCTTTTACAGCCATCAGCAGCTCCTCCAGAGTGCAAAGAGAAGAAGGCGAGTACAAGAACAGTCAGGGGGCAAGGAGACAATAGCAGGACACAACTGCACCTCATTTCTGCCACTTACCATTTGTGTGGCCTTGGGAAAATCACTTCACCTTTAAGCTTCAGTTCTTTCGTCTTTAAAATGAGGGTAGATGACCTCTAAGGTCCCTTCCAGTTCTAAAATTAGGATTCTATGATCCTATCCTGTAACTTGGAATCCATCCCCAGAATATGGGTACAATCTGAATACTCTGAGGTGGCTGGAATTAGAAATCCCTTTGCCCCAGCCGGAATTACAGACAGAAAGCACTAGAGAATAGACAGCCCAGGAAAATGGGGAAGCATTTCTTCAGGGCCTTGAGGGAGTATGGAGGAGTCTTCTCCAGGTACAGGGCCAGATATAGGCTAGAGAAGTAGCCACGGGTACCACACCTCCCAGAAGATGCTTCCAGCTCTGGAAGAGAGATGGATGAGGTTGGGTAGTAAAGACTTGCATCCCTGGAATTTACATTTCTCCCATACCCCACTCCCATTTCCTGGGTAAGTGGACAGGGTCATACTGGCCTCCCAGAGCAAATAAATCCAGCTGTGCCCAGAAAGACATGAGATTCTTCTGAGGAAAGTGAGTTTCCTCAGGGTTTGTGAGAATTGTCAGTTTGTTTTTTGTTTTGTTTTGTTTTGTTTTTTTAAGGGAAAAGAGCAGCAGTAATTTGAACCCAAAGAAGTTTCCTGAGTGGCCTGGCCTGCTTTTGGGAAAGAGATCTTCTGAGAAGAGAAGCCCAAGGCAGGGTTAGCCCAACTACTTCCATTTCTAGGATCCTTATCAAAGGGCATAGAGCAGGGAGCCCTCTTCAGGGAGTCCCACAGTCCTTCTAGAAAGATAAGGCTGGGGCAGCTAGGTGGTGCAGTGGATAGAGCACCTGCCCTGAAGTCAGGAGGACCTGAGTTCAAATCCAACCTCAGACCAAACACTTGACACTTACTAGCTGTGTGACCCTAGGCAAGGCACTTAATCCCAATTGCCTCTTAAAAAAAAAAGAAAAGAAAAGAAAGATAAGGCCCAAGTTGATCAAAACCAGACATAAGGAGGCCAGGGTAGAAGACTATTAGACAAGACTCAACCCCTCTTCTCATCCCCTTCCCCCCACAATCATGGAGGATAAATCTCCTCAGGAAACAAGGGGATAAATCTCTTCAACAGAAGAAGGGAGAAGACAGATTTTCCAGTAGTGGGGTCTGGGTAAGGACTAGAAGTCTGGAGCAAGAAGTTCTAGTACCCACTCTGCTACCTCCTAGTTACATAATCTTTAGCAAGTCACTCTTCAGGGCTCAACTTCATCTATAAAATAGGGCAGTAAGATCATAGAGTTAGAACTGGCAATCCCCCCCCATTTTACAGGTGAGGAAACTGAGGCTTCAAGAAGTAAGGATTTACCCAAGTTCTCACAATAATAAGTGGCCAAGCCAAGCCTCAAAGTCACATACTCTGGCCCCGAGTCTGAGACTTTTCCCACTAGACCACACTACCTCTGCAGCAAGATGACTCGGATGACCTCCAGGGTCCTTTACAGCTCTAATGTTTTACGTATGAGTCTATGACCCAGAAGTCTTGGTTTGTTGTCCTATGTCCTCCAGTCAGCCTGCTGAGGTACTGTTTACTGGGGAGAGAAAGAGCTGGCTGGAGTTGAGTAGAGAGAGAAAAAGGAAGGGCTGGAGGAGAAATATACCTTTGTCACTTCCTTCACTCTTTGAAAAAAAAATTTAAATCTCTTCTTCACTCTTTTTTTCTATTTTTTCTCTGTCCTTTTCATTTGTCTGTCCTCTTTCCATCCATTTCTTTCTATTGCTTCTTTTCTTTTCTTCACTATTTATTTACCTTTCCTCTCCTCTTTTCTTCTCCTTGAGATCATGTTTGGGTAAAGAGATTTGCAAACCTTCTATTCTCCACAGGAGTCCTGTCTAAACCCATCATCTTCAAAATCATAAGGATCTTTCCAAAAAGCCGACTAGTTCATATTTTATGCCACTCAATTCAGGGCCCTCCAACTATAAGCTACATCCTCATGGAGACATCTGGTGTCATGGTATCGAAGAAGATCATGGATAATGGGCACCCAGACAGATTTCCTCTTCTTGCTACATTCAAGACCCGGCCAGATTTACTCAATTACTACTGCCTTGCAAGCACACCTTTGGGGCAAACAGCCTACAGTGACATACTGAAGCTCTTCTGGGAATTGTGGGGTAATATGTCCCTTGGAAGAGGGATATGGGAGATGTGGAGTTTTTTTGGGGGGGTGGCAAGGAATCATACTAGTAGGTGGGGTTGTTGGTGGGCATGGGGCTTTTATGGATTAGAGATTAAGGTGGGACAGGGCTGTGAGGACAGGACCAGCTAAACCAGGCCAAAAGACAGCTTTAAAAGGTCCAGCCTGCATTTGTTAGCTTCTTTCTCTGAAAGTACAGATTATGTTTCCAGGCCAACATATACACAAGGTCTGCTAGGGGTGTCTTACCATGCTGAGTGATGGTAAAGATCCATAGAGTTGTGGTTGGAGAGAGCAGAGTATCTAAAGGCAGAGTTGATAGCATCCTAAGAATCATGGGCCACATGTAGGTAGAAGGGAAAGGACTTCAGAGGTCAGATGATCTCAAAATTCAGCCTCTTCATTTTATAGATGAGGAAACTGAAGCCCAAGGAATATCTTGACTCTGTCATTAAGTCAATGTGTGACTTGCCAAGTTCCTGGAAGAGTTCTTTCTACCATACTATACGATCTCAGAGTTAGTGTTTTCTTGGTATAGACTGCATGAAAACTAAATTGAGAAATATTGCATAAACTGGAGGGGTGGGCAAATTGATTAATAAGTCAAGTAATCAACAAATTAAATTATTATTGATTAATCGAGGCCACAGAGAATAAGGCGAGCAAGGACAGTGCTTCATATCCCCAGAGATAAAAAGTCAATAAACAAGTACATTTTAAGTATCTCGTATATACCCAGTACCATGCTAGGTAGGCTATGTATTTAATACTGTGCTCAGGAAAAATGAGATCCCTTGATGATGGTGCTAGGTGCTGTAGGGGACACAAAAGAATAACATTAAACCCTTATTAAACTCCTATCACGTGCAATGTACGAGAGGCAGCATGGTGTTTTGGATAAGAGCCAGCCTTGGAGTTGGAAGGATCTGGGTTTATGTCCTGCCTCAGTGCCTCAAAGCAGCTCTCTAAGACCATAAATTATGAAAGGGTTGCAGATCTGCAACTTCCCTTGTGGAGGGAGTTTCCATACTGGAAAAAAAATCACAGGACTCATGCAAAAATAAAATGAAAAATGTGCGATGCTCTATGCTAAATCCTGGGGAATACAAAGAGGAATAAGAAGCAGTCTAATGTTTCCTGACCCCTTAAGAGCTAATTGAGGAGATAAGAGTTTATCCATATGAACTAATATTGAACAACACAAGACAGAATATAATGATATAATAATAGTTTATTGTGTGGTCAAGAATATAAGCATTGTATACAGAGGAAAGGAAGGAAGGAAATAAATACTTAAGTGCCTAAAATGTCCCAGGCACTCTGCTAAGCACTTTATAAATATTATTTCATTTGATCCTCACAAGAACCCCAGGAGGTAAGGTACTGCTATTTTGCCTTTTTTACGGTTGAAGAAAATAAGGCAACCAGAGGTTAAGTGACTTGCCCAGAATCACACAGCTAGTAAGTGTCTGAGATGACTAGATTTGACTTAACTGCTTAGGAACAGAGATCAATGAGAGATGGGCTAGTCAGAGAAGGCTTCAGGAAAGAGGTGGGAGCAAGAGTTGAATTGCTGGAGGGTGTTAGCACACAGGAGCCCCCTTTCTTGCCCCTAGCAATAATGAGTTGTGTCCTCCCCATTCCGGATCACATATCCCTTCAGTACACTAGCCAATGGCCTCTGACCGTGCCTTGAGAGGAGCCCCAATAGCAAGACTGTGATCAGTTCAGGACCTCCAGGAAATGCTCCTAAGAAATGAGCACCTGGCTTGATGAGTGAAAAAAGGGAAAGAGAAGATGTTAGTGGGTCTGGACGAAAAAAGACATGGTTCTCTCCTCTCCAATTAAGCCAAGAATTCTAGGCCCCAAGATCTCTACACCCACTTACCATTTTCTCCTCCTTTCCCTACCTTCCTTCCACAGTACCAGTGTCCCAGCCTCAAGCTAACTTCACCCTGGTAGATACAGGATCAGGCCAAATGGTGGTAGTGTCGTGCCTGGCATCTGAGGGCAGCCCACCCATCACTTACATGCTATTCAGAAAGGATGGGCACATCTTAATTGAGGAGACGCCCCACCCTGGAAGACCAGCCAACTTTTCCTTCCCAGTGAACAAAATATCAGCCTGGTATGCATGCCAGGCCAAGAATATTGGCAGTGCACAGTGAAGTACCCTCACCCTGGTGCCCCCAGGTAAGAGACTCTTTATTTGGACAAGTAAGGAGGGAAGGGAGAGAAGCCCAGGAAAAATGAAATCCCCTAATGAGGCTACCACCGATGGTACCCACGTGTCTTTGAGATCAGTGATGGTTGGGATCTGAGCTTTTCACAGGCCTTAAGGACCTGTAATTGAACTTGTGTGGATACTTGCCAGGGCTGTGCTAGTAAATATTTAATAACCAGCTCTCCAGGAAACAACAACGAAGTGACCATGACAAACTTTTAAGTTGAATCTGCCTTATTAACATTTTCTCCATCCCTCTCTTAAGCCTAGACAATCAACAGTACAATAAATCAAGCCTTGATTTGCACCATTTGCTGATTTTCAAGGCATAAATGCTCACATTGAAAATTTAACATTCAGTTTTTTGAATCTAGTATGAGCCCCTTTGCTTGCAGCCTTTGTATATCTTAGCTAGTCTTTGTAGACTGCTATGACCAAACTAATTGCTTGGTAGCCAAATTTCTGGTCATGAACTTTTATGAATTTAGCTTCAAATTTATGTCAACAGATGATGTATCTGGGCCCATATCCAAAGCCTTTCTCCATTAGTAGCGTCTATCAGAGGTTTTATTCTTCAGGTATAGCCTTTAAGAACTTGGTCACTAGGGGCAGCTGGGTGGCAAACACTCAGTAGCTGTGTGACTCTGGGCAAGTCACTTAACCCCAATTGTCTCACCAGAAAAAAAAAAAGGAACTTGGTTACCTACATGCCATTGAGAGAGGACTTAGAGGATGACCTGATAGCTAAACTATGAAAATCCCCTCAACATCTGCTCTTTGGCCTGGGAAAGAACTGATGATAATGGAGCAAGCCCCAGCCAGGGTCAGCACACTCACGCCCAACAGCAAAAAGACAGGCTCCTCTTTCCCACTTCTCAACACTTCCTCCAAAGTCTTTTCCAACTCTGGAGATTCTATGACTTCTTCCGATTGGGGTGGGAGAAAGGACATGAAAGCTAAAAGAAAGTCTTCAACATCATTGTTTCCTGCTATGGCTCACAGGGGAGCTGCCCCTGGCACCAGCTTTTGTACTGGCTGTAAGTCTGACTTCCATGGTGGCCGCCACATTTATAATCCTGTACCAGAAAATGACAAAGAGGTAAGATCTATGAGCTGGGGAAGGGCAGGGTAAGGAGAGCAGGAGTTAGGAGAGGCAGTGTCAATCCCAGAGCAAAGGGTGGAGAAAAAAGGCAGAGGTGCTACCAACCATGATGGCACCCACTAGGGAGTCAGAAGGTTAAATGTGTATGGTTACATGTTTGTTCGTGTAAGAGTTTGGGCTGTGGTCATTGCCAAAGAGTCATTAATTCCTTGGAGATTCCTAGGAACTTTTCTTCCTCCTTTTCTTCCTTCCTTCCTTCCTTCCTTCTTTCCTTCCTCCCCATTCCTTCCTTCTTTCCTTCCTCCCCCCATTCCTTCCTTCTTTCCTGTCTCTTCCTGTAAAAAACTTATGGAGTATGTTATAGTGGGGATTCTTGTTAATTAAGTGTTGAATTAGATAGCCACCGACATCTCTTCCAACTGTAAAATCCTATAAATGTTTGTTTTGAAATTAGTGCTGTTTGCTTTGTACCATATTAAGCAAAATCTATCAATACATTGCTGAGATGTGACAGTATATGCACTATTTCACAACCCTTCCCCTACAATGATGATGATGCTTGCTATGTGCCAGGCACTTTAAAACTATTATCTGATTTGATCCTTATCACAACCCTGGGAGATAAGTGCTATTATTATCCTCATTTTAAAGATGGGGAAACTGAGGTAAACAGCAGTGAAGTGACTTGCTCAGGGTCACACAGATAGTAAGCGTCTGAGGCTGGATTTAAACTCAGATCTTCCTCAATTCTTCTCTATGGTCAAGATTAGTCATAATTGTATGTTGAATTTTGTTTTTTTGTTATTTCCATTTATTGCTGTAGTCATTGTTACATTGTTTTCCTCATTCTATTTTCTTCGCTCTGCATCAGTTCACATAAGTTTTCCTATGTTTTTCTGAATTCCTCTTTTTTGTTTTATCTTATGGCATAGCAATATCGTATTGTATTCAAATAAGGCAGTTTGTTCATCAGTTCCTCCAATCAATGGATACTTATTTTACTTCCATTTTTCTTGCTATCATAAAAAAAAAGTGCTGCAAAAAATATTTTGCTATATCTGGGATTTTTTTTTTCTGTCTTGGACCTCACTGGAGCATAAACCTATCTTCAGAATGCATTTCCAGGTGAAGAATATGAATAGTATAGTAACTTTTGGGGGGCATAATTTTAGCATAATTCCAAATTACTTTGCAGAATAATTGAATCAACTCACAATTCAACTGATGCTGCCTGTCTTTTTACAGCACTTTAAAATGGATTATTCACATTTTTGCCATTTTGTCGATTTTCTGGGTATAAGCCAAAGCTGCAAAGTTGTTTATATGTGCAATGATTATTTTGAGAATGGTTTGTTGATGGCTCTTGAACAAGCATTTATTTTCTTTTTAAAAATAACTTTTCATTTATATCATGAAAATTTCTCCCAGTATCCCTTCCTCTCCATTCCCAGAGAACCAGCCCATATAATAATATTATTTAAAGAATGGAAGAAAAGAAAAAGACTACTGAAACCAATAAATACTTAGAAAAGGATTGAAAACACATGAAATGGACCATACACTCTTACAAAAGAGTGGGATGGGAATATCTTCTCATTTCTCTTCTTTGGGGCCATGTTTGTTCTTCGTAATTTTGCAACTTTCACTTTTATTTGTTTTGTAGTTCTTTCCACATTGTTTACCTCAATTTCCTCAGCCGTTAAATAGGGATAATTATAGCACCTATCTCCCAGAAGTAGTGAACACTTTATAAAAGTTGTTGTTGTTTATGATAGTCATTGTGTGGAGTGGGGGGTTGGTGAGGTGGAGTGTGGGGGTGTGTGTGCATGTGTGTGTGGCAGCTGGGTGGTGTAGGATTGAGTATCAGGCCTGGAGTCAGGAAGACTCATTTTGAGTTCAAATCCAGCCTCAGAATTTACTGAGTGAATCTGGGCAAGTTACTTAATGCTATTTGTCAGTTTCCTCATCTGTCAAATGAACTGGAGAAGGGAATGGCAAACCACTCTAGTATCTTTGCCAAGAAACCCAAATGGGGTCACAAAGAGTCAGACACAACTAAAACAACTGAACAATAATATATACGTGGCTCTGCTTACTTCACCCTGCATCAGATTGTATAAATTTTTCACTATTTCCCTGTATTCATTATATTCATCATTTCTTACAGCTCAGCAATATTCCATTACATTTATTTATCACAATTTGTTTAGCCATTTCCCAACTGATTGGCATCTACTTTGTTTTTAATTCTTTGTTACCACAGTAAGTGTTGCCATAAATATTTTGCTGCATATGGAGACTCTCCTCTTCTCAATGGACTCCTGGTATATAAGCCTAGTAATGGAATGTCTGGGTAGTTGTACTGAGTCACAGCTCCACCAACAATACACTAGTGTCCCTGTCTTCCCACAACCCTACCAACACTGATTATTCCCATATTTTGTCATCTTTGCCAAATTGTGGGGTGTGAGATAAAGCCTCAGGGTTATTTTAATTTGTATTTATTTTACTATTAGTGATTTGAATTATTCTTTCATATAGTTGTTAATAGTTTGTAAGTTGTGTTTTGTGAATTGCTTATTCAAATCTTTTGACCACTTATGGCCAAAGATGCATTTGTACATATATACACACATGTGTGTAGTTAGTTGTCTAACTCTTACCTTATCTGAGAAACTTGATACAAAGATTTTTTCCCCCGTTCAACCATTTTCCTTCCTTCCCTAAATATACTAATTTTGTTTGTGCAGAAGCTATTCAGTTTTTTGTAATCAAAGTCATTTATTTTGTCTTCATTGCCTCCATCCCTTATTTGGTTAAGAATCATTTCCTACCTCTAAGACATCTCCAGAGGCCTCAGGATGGAAAATGCTGTCCACATCCAAAGAAAGAACTATGGAAGTCGAATCGCTATCACTTACTTTTACCTTCTGTTGAGTTTTGTTTCATCTTTCTGATGGTTCCTCCTATTGGTTTTAATTTTTACTTACAACTTCACTAATGTGAAAATATGTTTAATGGGTATGTAAATATAAAGCCTATATCAGACTGTGCACTGTCTTGGGGAGGGTGGTGGGGAGGAAGGGGGAGAAAAATTTTCAACTCAAGAGCATATGGAAGTGATTGTTGATAAATCAAAATAAATTAATAAAATTTAAAAACAAACAAACAAACAAACAAACAAACAAAAAGAGTCATTTCCTACCCGTAGCTGGGAAGATATGATCTGCTTCTCTTCTAATTTTTAAAAATAGTCTAATCTTTAATATTAAAGTCACGTAACTATTTTGAATTTATTATGTTCAACAAGCATTGATGAAGCACCTACCCTGTGTTCGGCACTAGGTACATACAAAAATAAAAATGAAACATTCCTTGCTTTGAAGAAACTTATTTCTAATTAGGAGAAACAACATGCATACTGTTATAAATACAAAATATTTTCCAGTGGGGAGGGCACTAAGAACCGAGGGAATTAAGAAAAACCTCTTAGGGGCAGCTAGGCGGCACAGTGGATAGGGCTCCAGCCTTGGAATCAGGAAGACCTCAAATCCAGCCTCAGACACTTGATACTTACTAGCTGTGTGACCCTGGACAAGTCACTTAACCCAAACTGCCTCACCAAGGAGCAAAAAAAAAACCAAAAAGACCTCATGCAGGAAGAAAGTGGCAGTTGAGTTGTGCCTGGAAGAAAGCTAGGCATTCTACCAGGCAGAAGAGAGGGGGGAGTCTTTTCTGGCAATGGGAGACAGCATATGCCAAGGTACAAAAGTAAGAGAGAAGAGCCATATGTGAGGATCAGAGGGTTAGGCAAGTTTGGCAAGAATGTAATGTTCCTGAAAGAGAATAATGTATCTGGAAAGACAGTCTGACAGATTGTGAAGGATTTTAAATACCAGAAAAGTTTTCCTTTTATCCTAGAGGCCAG